AATGGTAGAGGGATGTTTAGTCGGTGCTCGTGTACTGAAGATGATTAGCACATTTAAAAATTGGCCCATTTGTGTTCAGTTGGGGCATCTGGAAAAAGGAATGCCTAAAAGACCTGGAAAAGCATTTGAAACTTACATTTTTGCTCCATTCAATGAAAATCTCAAAACGTTCTGGTGTTGAGATTAATTTCGGTCATATATCATCTCGATATGACAAGCTAATAAGAGTAAATGAGGAGGAGATTACCTTGGGAAGGTTTTCTTATTTCCATGGGATGCAACGCATACAAAAATAATATAATATAAAAAAATCTGCAGGAATTGATATTGATAAAACTCGCAACTACCATCAATATACATAAAAAGCTACTATTACCTTTTGGCACATGTTAATTGAACTAAAGAGCTTGGTGAGGATTGTGTTAGTTTAGGAGAATTGTGGATCATAGATTAAATTCAATGGTTGAATTTAGTCTTTTAGTCAATTTCTCTGTACTAGTTTTTTACTTTCCGTCATAGTACAATAATTTGAATTTTGAATTCAAATGTCTTGGCTCTATAATTAAACGTGTCTTCATTTTGTTTTATTTGAAGTTGACGAACAAGGGAAAAGAGTAACTAAGTGGGAGAGACTTGTTCTTCGGCGAATAGTCTTAGCTACCTGGTTATCCATTGACATTCCCTTAGATGACGGTGCTTTGATTCGGTGTGACACAATCTGAGCTCAACATCATAGGATACATTGGTGTGAAAGTTGACGAAGATTTGAGTCGGTCTATATACACGAGTTTATTTTTCACATTGTAGATGTAATAATCATTGTTACTCTACAAATGGTATTGGAGCTCAAGCTCATGATAAAAAGTGTTAAAACAACTTGAAAATCAGATTGGAGGTTGAAGAGGTTCAGTTTTGTTTGAAAACAAGTATACCGAGACTTCAAATCCATATTTCGAAGGATCTAGGCACCTGGTGGACAAATGAGACCATATCGAGACTTCTGACTACTGTAAAACGCAACGATTCGGCATGTGAAGCGCGTGGTAGTGATGGTGGATCACTTCACCAACGTGTGAAGAACATGCGCCGTAGAAAAAAAGGTGCATGAGAGCAGGTGACGTGGAATTTGCCAATGGTGAAAAATACAGTTTGTTCCTTGATGAATTTCAAACCTCTTGGTGGTGTTGGTTTTCTAAATGGTGCAATCATCGTTCAAGGGAATGTCAGTAACCAAGAAAAAACCATTGGAGTTAGTCAAGAATATTTATCGAATAATAAGTCTACTTAGTTACCTTTTTTTTTCCAACTCCAAATGAAATCAAATGAAAATACATTCAATTATAGAGTCGACATTTGAATTCAAAATTTAAATCATTATATTATGATAGAGATTGAAATAGACAAGTCTAGTAGAGAAATTGACCATAAAATTAAATTTAATCATTGTATTTAATATATGATATACAATTATCTTAAACTAGCACAATTCTTATCGTGTTCTTTTGTCCAATTAATATTAATAGGGGCTATGTGATTAAGTGATCAACCTCACAAATTTTCACATTGATCACATTTGGTCAATTACCTAATTACTAGTTACAATTGTTATCCCTTAATGTGATCTTATTTCATCATTACTTATTTCAGTACCTACACAACAATTTACCGTTATTAATATTTTTAAACATTTGTTGAGCTTACCAATAGTAAGTACTTTAGTTTTAATATTTGTAGGATGATCAATTGCAATTTTAAGTAGAGTATAAATTCACCATAAGCTAACTTCTCCCTAATGAAGTGAGATTTATAGGGCTCGGCTTGGCTCGTATGCACACGAGCTCGGCTCGTTACTCATTGACCGAGTCGAGCTTCGGCTTGCGAGCTCGTAAATTTATTTTATTTTTTTAATAAAGAAACCTTTTTTTTAAAGTAGGATATACCTTCTACTTTGGACGAGCTGCTCGCCTGTGGGCGAGCCAACCTGTTCAGTTCGTGCTCGGGCTTGTTATTTGACGAGCCCAAGCCGTTGACGAGCCGCTCGGCCCGTTTGCCACCACTAGATATTTAACCTTAAAATGCTTATATCGTTCATGATAAACAAGGTTTTTACATAACATCGATGAACTTTGACTATATCAGTAAAAGTGACAGCATTTTCATTCAAGAAGTTTAAAATTGTGAATGTATGAGACTTTGATTTCAAATTGAAGGGAGACGATAATTTTTGCCAAATATCATGTATTCGATTTTAAGCTATATTTTCATACCACGAGTCTGAACAGTGTTTTGAATGATGAAACAAAGATTCACGGTTACACCTGTCTGAAACATTTTTGTAGAGACACATGTGATCGTGGTTCAACCTTTATATTCATCCAAGTGGTTCAACATGATGATGAAGTAGTTCGTCTTCCTTATTACATGCCTATTCAGTTTTGTAACGTCGTCCAGAATTGATTTCAGATGCTTCTCGGGAAAAGGCATCTGCTTCTGAGGAGCAAGGTTGAAATGATGAACTATGCCTGATGTCTGAGGTGGGTGTAAAATCTGTTATGTGTACTAATTTGGGTTTGGTGGCGTTATTATATTATGGACCACTAAACATTGGTGCGGGTCTTTTTGTGGTACCCTATTTTGTTGGTAGCCTCTTTGTATGTTTCAGCATCCTTTCAATGGTAATACAACGATAGTTTGTACTGAAATAGTTGTCACATTTGAACCTTTAATGTTGTACACTTATTTTAATGGGCAAATAGCATTAGAGGTTCCCAATCTTTGACACTAGTTGCACTTATGTTCTCAACCTTTTATTTTGACAGAACTTTGGTCCTTGTGGACAATTTTACCTTCATCTATAACAAAATAAGTCAACAAGGCGATTTTGCCATTGTATGTTTAAATGAAATAAATAGAAATAAATAAATACATAAAAGCAAGACAGAAAAATCGAAATTTCAATTTATTGATGTCAATTTGGATTAACTTCCTATAACGGTAATGAAGTCAAGATTAATCAATTTAATTTTTGAATTATGACAATTGGAAAGGGTTGGTCCGGGTGACCATTACCATTTCGTCTCCCATTTCGGAATTTTGGGAGGTGAGATGGGAACTAAAAATATTCTCATTTACTACCTATTTAATTAGTTATTAATCTTTTAATATCAATTTTTTTAGTTTTCAAATACGTGGGGAGGTAGGTCGAGGGCGACGAGATTTGCCATCCGCTCCATTCCAGACGCTCCTAAAATTTAATTTATGAAAGTAAAAATTGGGACTCCACATGGAACTTGAGCACTACTAGAATGAAATTTTGAGGATGTAAATGCTAATTTTAAAGGTTGGGTGTAAAAGTACAATAATTGTCAAAGAATAGGGACCTCAGTTGCTATTTACCCATATTTTATAACGTATAGATATAGATTATTTGTATATTTATTTTTTTTGCTTGAACTGTCTGGTTTATGATTTTTAATGGTTCCTATTAGGGCTGGACATGGTTCAGAATCGAATCAAAATTTTCGAGTATTTAATAAATAGAATCGTTCAGGTTCCGTTGAGTTCGGTTCCGTACCATAATTAAATTTTTTAACAGATTTCTAATGGTTAACGATTGGTGGTCGTGGTTGGAGGTGCGACTTCGATGGGCATTGGAGAAGGGAAGTCGGACTCGGCAGTTGGTGATTTCGATTTGGGCATGTAGATGTAGGTTTTCAATTTATCAAATGATTTGAAGTCAGTTATTTAGTGGTTACCGAATGAAAGTGTGAAATTGGAAAGGGAAGGATAAAAATTTAAAAATGCGTAGATCTTGGGACTAAGAATGAAATTAATAATAGAACCAAAAAATTAAATCAAAAAATTGAATTTAGAAATTGGATTGGATTGGGCTAGTTAGGCATTGACTTGGATTGGGAGTTAGAACATTAATAACTAAATTAGTTCATTTGCTAATTTGTTTAGAAAAATTAAAAAAATTAATTAATTCAATATAAAAAATTTAAAAAATTATTTAAATTCGGTTCTTATTCGGTTCTAGGTCTATAACCAAGAATCGAACCGAACCCGTCGGTTCTCGATTCAGATACCCGTTCAAATATTTAACTTATGAAGAATCCCTCGGTTCGGTTTAATTCGGTTCGGGAGTTTTGTCCTATGTCCGCAAAAAACAATCTTTAGGGATATTACACACAAATGTACACAATACGATACTTATGATTAATTTCTAGTGATTTTGTGTTAAAGTCGTAAGAAGGTGATAGTTCTTTTTCTTTTTTTGTTTTTTTTTTTGGGTAAAAAAAATCAATACTCTATTATTTAAATCGTTGTTTGACACCCATTTTAGTAGAAGAATGTGTTTTTGAATAGTGATTGATGGAAGAATGTGTTGTTAAAAAGTAAAAAAAATTTTTAGGTTTATGTNAGAAAAATTTTTAGGTTTATGTGTAATATTAGTTTAGTAATAGAATGTGTGGTTTAAATGAAGAAAGAGAAAAAAAATGAAAATGAGAATGAGAATAGGAAAAGAATGGGTGCCAGGGGCTATACTTCTTTAATATTTCAAGTTTCAACTCAACTCAGAACTCTTTAAAATTTAATGGTCAAAATTATTAATTTAAATATGTTATAATAATTTTGTTTAAGTTGATACAATCTAAACGAGTTGATAATTTGTTTTTCACGAATCGAATAACTAGTTCCATTTGACACCACCATTCCAAGACATGCCTTTTAGCTTTCCAGAAAACTTATTACCATACCATCTTGAAACAAATTTGAAAAGTCCTTTAATAGAAAAAAAATAAAAATAAAAATTGAATTAAAGATCATATTTACAATGAAGGACCTCTGGTGCAATTTTCCGTTTCTTAAAAGGCTTCGACAGTTATTGATCAAATTTTCAGGTGACCCTCGTGAAATAAACTGAATTATCCGTCGCATGTGCCACGGAGGAGAGAACAAGATAACGGCGGTGCGCGGGTGAATACTGAATTACGGTGATGGCAGCCACGGAAGGTGTAGCTACAGGATTCCAAGACCAACAACAGCCGATGCCGCCGGCGATGGCCGTCGAGAGGCTGAATATGGCGGTCCAACAGCAGCTTAATCTCGATTCCGTCAAGACTCGAGCCTTTAGCCTTTACAAAGCCATTTCTCGAATCCTCGAAGAGTTCGACGCCATTGCACGAGCCAACGCCGTCCCCAAATGGTATTTCGCAATAGTTCCCCAATAATAAAAGAAGAATTCAAGAAAATAATACCGGTAGAAATTAGAAAACCTAATTATCAAAACAATGTGATTTTATGTGGATAAAAATTGATTTTGTGGGTTATGTATATGTACTGAAACAGGCAAGATGTTATGTCGCAATTTTCTATGGTGAATTTGGAGCTATTCAACATTGTCGAAGACATTATGAACGTTTCCAAAGCTTTTGTCGTGCATCCTCGGAATGTTAATGCTGAGAATGCAACCAGTATGATTCTTTATTGTTCTTCCCATTAATTTGACTCAGATTTTTTATCCCATCAAAGCCTGCAAATGTACTCCGAAACATCATTTTTCTTACTTTTAAGTTAAAAAAATCCTATGTTTTTAAATTAACTCAAAAAACTGATTCTTACCGTGATTTGATATTTAAGTAACTTGTCTATTTCCTTCCATTGATAAAAAGTTATTTATTTACTCATAAGTAACTTTTATGCTTGGCCATAATTAGTGAGTTCTGTAAGAAAAAGTGATTCTTGAAGAAGAATTGGACAACCTTATTTTTACCAAAAAGCTGTTAGAATAAATTTAGTTCAAAGAACCTTCAGTTACCAGTTTGTTTCAACTGATGTTGGCTGGAATCTTCAACAACTTGGAGCCTTGTTTGTTGGTAGTTAATAACCGAAATGGAGCCTCGTTTAGGTCTATAAATAGGAGCCATATGTAGTGCAAAAAGAAGAAGCTTTCAGGAGTGAAAGAGGGATAGGAAGTGAGATTGTATAAGAATGGTAGAATTCTCATAAATTTGGGCAAAAGTCTTTCTAGTATGATTTCAAGCGTGTAAATCATGTTTTGCTTTGGTAATTTTCTTCTTGTTTAAATCATTCTAAGTGTTGAATCTTGCTGGTTTTATATCTGTTTTCTTGTTGGGTTTATTCCTGTTCTTCTACCATTTTAATATGAGTTGTGGGTGCCGATTTTCTCTTTATAATTCTGCAATTTCTGGATTGGTCTTGGAGCCGTGGGGAAGCTCAAATCCCCAACAATTGGTATTAGAGCTTGAAAGTTTCTGGTCTGATTTCTGTTCTCTTTAATTGGCCGAACGCATTTTTGTGAAAAATAGATTCCTGGCCAGAATCTTGATCACATAATGTCTAATTCAAATTTGAGATAGAGAAATTTAATGGCAAGAATGACTTCAATCTGTGGAGGGAAAAGATGATGGCTCATCTCGGTAATCTTGGTTTGGAAGAAGCTTTGGAAGGGAAATCTAAAATTGATGCTGAAATTCTGAAGAAGGCAAGGAACACCATCATACTTAGCCTATCTGATACACTTCTGAGGAAGGTAATTAAGGAGAAGACGGCGCTTGAGATGTGGTATAAATTGGAAGAGCTCTACTTGACCAAAGCTTTGCCTAACCGGATCCACCTGAAGCACAAGTTCTACAGCTTCAAGATGGATGAAACAAGGTCAATTGATGAGAACATTGATGAGTTTACTAAACTGGTATCTGATATGGAGAATCTGGACATCAAGATTGATGAAGAAGATCAAGCCATTTTCTCGTTGAACTCTCTGCCACCAACCTTTGATCACTTAAGGGATACCATCAAATATAGCAAGGAATCATTAACCTTCAAAGAAGTTGCTGCAGCAGCCTATTCGAAGGAATTGGATATGCAGCTGAATGGAAAACCTTGCTAAAAGGAATGGAGAGGTGCTGAGTGTCCAAGAAAGAAAAGAAAAAAGAGTGTGCTGGATTTGTAATCAAGAAGGGCACTATAAGAAGGATTGTCCAAGAAGAAATTAGAGGTGGATAAAGAAAGGAGGCAAGCAAGATGGAGAGTGTGCAAACATGCTTGGAGGCTATGAAGTTGATGAAGTGCTCTGAAGGTTATAGCTGTAATGAATCTGAAAATTCTTCTCAAGAATCAAGGAGAAGATCGTAAGAAAAAGTGATTTTTGAAGAAGAATTGGACAACCTTATTTTTACCAAAAAGCTAGAATAAATTCAGTTCAAAGAACCTTCAATTACCAGTTTGTTTCAACTGATGTTGGTTGGAATCTTCAACAACTTGGAGCCTTGTTTTTTGGTAGTTAATAACCGAAATGGAGCCTCATTTAGGTCTATAAATAGGAGCCATATGTAGTGCGAAAAGAAGAAGCTTTCAGGAGTGAAAGAGGGATAGAAAGTGAGATTGTATAAGAATGGTAGAATTCTCATAAATCTGGGCAAAAGTCTTTCTAGTATGATTTCAAGCGTGTAAATCATGTTTTGCTTTGGTAATAAAGTGTTAGGAAGAGGTTTTGTTCTGTTTAAATCATTCTAAGTGTTGAATCTTGCTGGTTTTATATCTGTTTTCTTGCTGGGTTTATTCCTGTTCTTCTGCCATTTTAATCTGAATTGCTGGTGCCGGTTTTCTCTTTACAATTCTGCAATTTCTGGATTGGTCCTGGAGCTGTGGGGAAGCCCAAATCCCCAACAAGTTCTTTATTGTATATTAATGGAATTCTTTCCATACAGTTTTACCTGTTATGTTGTCATCCAAACTTTTGCCCAAAATGGAAATAGACAACACCAAGAGGGAACAGTTGTTTCATGGAATGCAGAACCTGCCAGTTTCAGCACAAATTGAAAAGCTAAAAGTGAGTCAATTATTCGTGTAGAAAATTGGCATTGCATCTGTAAATTAAGCACTTAAGTATGTTCCCATGTCTATTATTCTCAGGCTAGAATTGATATGATTGGAGCAGCCTGTGAAAGTGCTGAGAAGGCCATAGCCGATACTCGTAAAGCCTACTTTGGCACTCGACAGGGGCCGACAATTCTTCCAACTATGGACAAGGTTCAAGCATCAAAAATACAAGAACAAGAAAATTTGCTTCAGAGTGCTGTAAATCATGGTGAAGGTGGTTCAGCTGCAACTTTTCATCTTACTCTTCTCAAGAAAGTTTACCCTTTGTGATACATCTTCACCCTATATTGATGCTTATGCAGGGTTAAGGTTACCTGGAGACCAAAGCAGACAACATCTACCCTTCCAGGGCATTTGGTAGACATCCTCGCTGCCAATGATGGTCCACAGAATAATTCTGATACATCTGGTATGACCTGTAGTCTTTTCTTCAACATTTTTCCTCCCAAATTCTGATCACAGTTTTGTGAATCTAGAGACAATAATATGTTCTTTTAGGGATGTATCTGAAAATTAAACATCCGCTTTCATCCGCCAGCAATAACAGCCAGGGAAATTTGTTACGAATATATTTTACAATCTTGCTGTGTAAATTTAAAATTTGAAAAATATGCTTTCAAGCTCCTAATGAAATTCGAAGTTCTGTTGTGTTTGTATAATACATCTAATTTAGCTGTGTCATCCCTTAATTGCCATTATTTACGCAGTGACGATGCCTATAGTTTAATGTGATATATTTTTGTTGTTATATCTTTCTTTTAAAATAAGAAAAAGTTACTATTACATTAGTGTCAAATAAGGAACTCGCTTATTTCCAACTTTGAACAATTAAATAATTACTTTTAAGCAGACCTTATAAGCTTAATCAAACATGCTTATTGCTTTGTGCTTGACCATGGTTTTTATGATAGGCTTCTGGAGCACAACTTCTCGGGAGAGCAGTGGCTTCCCCATCTGGTGCTACGGGTAGTATTTCGTCGAGATCCGGTGCAAACATGATGAACACACCGTCTCAGCAACAGTTACACCAGCAACTGCAGCAGCAAAGACAGAAAATAATGCAATTACCTCAGCATCAACAGCTCCTGGCCCAACAGCAGTTTAGGCAATCTTTGGAGTTTTTTGTAATGATCGGAGGTTTTATTCACATTTCAATTTAAACTTACATCTTTGTTTTGTGTACGTTTTTATTGATACTGATGTCTCTGGACATTAACATCTTATGTTGAAGCAAGAAAATTCTCTCTGCTATACCTACTTACTATGGGACTGCACAATTTCATGTTCCATTCAATTAGAATAGATTGCTCTTTTGTATCGGATGCTGGCATCCCACCCCCACACCCAAGACGAGAGCTTTTGGTCACCATGACATAATCATTGCTAGTGCCATATGATATTCGAGGAAAAGAATTAGTTAACATCTATGGCAATTACTTCGAAGATAATCCAGGACTTGCTCTATAAAATGCTCCAAGAAATTGCTTTGTGCTCATGAACGTGTGTGTGCACATTTATGAATGCTTATCATGAGATAATGTCATATGGCATTGTTTTCCTTGTTTCTATGCGTGTCCTGCTGTTTTGGTTCAATCTTTACCTAGGTTTACACTGTACCAGTTTCTTATTTTACCGTATGAGTGACTTTAGCAGATACATTTCAATAAAGATTGTCTTGTAGATAACTTTCACAGCAACCTAAAATTATCGTACACTATATTTTCTGCGGACCCCACAGCTGCATGATATGCAGGGCCAGGGAAAACAAAAGTTTCAGCAGTTAACACAGCACATGTAAACCTTCTAAAGATAATATTTGCTCAATTTCGTAAATGTTGTGTGATGAAAAATCGGGACATTTATCTCGTGAGGCAATTTTTTCAATAATTTAGTGAACACGAGCTACGTCATGGGATCAAGAATGTCAGTTCAAGCATGTTCTTGAAAGATGAGAAATCAAGCTTATAATGTGCTTTTGTCATAATTTTTCAAAAATGTAGTATTGAAACATTTGGGGACGTGTTGATTAAAGTACGATGAAATCATAAATATATATATATAGCAGAAATGATCTAATGAGCACCGGTGCTCATCTTATCCTAAACTCCAATGAGTTGGCACATTAATTCATTGGTGGATAAAGATTTTGTGAGTTCCAATCCACCAATGAATTAATGTGCCAACTCATTGGTGCTTAGAATAAGATGAGCACCAGTGCTGATTAGATCATTTCTGATATATATAGAACTAATACTCACAGTTTAGGTTGACTTTGATGTTGGTGATTTTTTTTGATATTAAGGAATGTTAATTGGTTCTATTAAGGGAAATTTGGGTTGTACTTTGCTGATGAAATAAAAACAAAATATCAAAAAATACATTTATCCATAAAACAAATGAGATTAACTTTGTACAAATTTTCGACGTTATTGTGTCTTTTTGACCCAAATATTCTAATAATTAAATTTTTATGTTCTGAATTTTACAAAACGATATATGTCGAGTCTGTGAAGTTTGGAGCTTCATCCTGCACGTTAGAAATTAAAATAACATAATAATTAGGACACCGTGTGGTATGACAAACATGTGTGTCGCGACTCAGGCCGTGTCCCTCACATGCTATTATTGTGAATTCTATACACGTTTTACTAGTTGTTTAATTACTAAAATGCTTCCTAACAGATGCAAGGTCCGCAACATGTGCAGTTTTCTCAGCCATTAGCAGCCCAACAACTTCAGGCTAGGCAGCTTAATTCTGAAGCAATGAATATGAATCAAAACCAAATGAACCAAGGAAACCAGCTGTTTCGTGGGGCTTTGACATTCACTGGTACATACGCTTGATATATGATTCTTATTTAGGGAAAATCGCACTATCGTTCACCCAACATATTACCCTAGCAGCAAGTGGGCTCTCAACTTTTTGTTATAGTTGCACTATTGGTCTTCAAGAATGAAATCTGTCCATTTTCCCGTTAAAACGATACATGACCCGAACATGTCCAACTTATTTCTTACTTGAAGCAAAATAAGCTCACCTTTTTTGCAAAAAAATAATTTTACCTTATTGTTGAAATAAATACAACTTATTTCATTTTTGTGCTTACACTTTCTCCCTAATAGAAAGTTATGACAGAGTTGTTGTGTAAAGAAACATTTTGTACTCTACTGATGGATCACTTGACAATTCAATCGTCTATAAATCAAACCCCATAAATAACGAAATCTTTGCACACTTTACGAGCTGTTTCAAATGTTCTCTAATTGTTCTAATATATTTCTTGACCTATCAACACGCATCCTTTCTCATGTTCACTTGGTTTCAAGGGGGGTATTGCTTCCTTTCTGGAAATTTTCTGGATGTGTACTAATTATTTTGGTACCAGGAGTATTTTAAGAGTGAACTTTAATTTCTAAAAGGTGTTGATTTATGGAATTTTCTGTTTGTATATAATCCATAATCAAATTTAAGTGGATAGTTATTCAGATTTTAGGTATGGAAACGTAGAAAACGTTTTATATTCGAGGACAAAAAATAGATTTAGCCCCTCTTTGTTTCCACCACTCTCAACAACAAAATGAGAAATTTGACCCTTTTTAAAATAGTGGGGTCCACTCACTCACAAAATGGTCAACTATTGCGGCTAGGCACTATTTCCAACGGTTAAGGCATTGTCTGGAGAAAATTAAAAGAAAAATTCTGACCGTTAGATTGGCCATTTTTTTACCGTTTGGAGATCATCTGGGACCCACATGTGAGTTAGCTAGTCAACAACGGCGGCTGCAAGTGGGAAAGCAACGGTAGGAATTTTCCTTTTAATTTTCTCCAGACATTAGGAGATCATCTGGGACCCACATGTGAGTTAGCTAGTCAACAACGGCGGCTGCAAGTGGGAAAGCAACGGTAGGAATTTTCCTTTTAATTTTCTCCAGACAGGCGCTAAAATTCTTATTTTTTGGGTGAAAGTAGTGGAAACAAATCGAGGTTTATTATGTTCCAATTTTTTGGTCCACGGGGTTATACCACTGTCCCCCAGAAAGTCCCAGGGGCGGATCCAGAAAGTTGAGTGAGTTAGAACAGTTGTTGATAGTTAAATGTCGTAATAACGTGATTATTTATTAATATTTAATTAAATAATATTAAAAAATTCTTCAATATAAACGTAAAAATGAAACTTATATATAAAGCATAATTAAACGATAAATACTAATTCCAAACTTAGGCAAAGCTTATGCAATGTTTTTAAAATAATTATTTTTAGAACTATTTTTTACCCAAAAAAATGTGTGTTTTGAAATCTTAAAAAAAATAAAGAATAGTAGTTAGATTGTCTACATTTAAATTTTACAAAATAAATTGACAAAATCTAACAATAAAAATATATATTATGCATTTTTATTATAACCAACCCGATCGTTGATTGTACAAATCATTGGTTCGACGGTTCAACTATTAAGTAATTGCAATATTTAATTTTATTTAAAAATAATAATAATTTTTAAAACAAGGCGGTGAAAAGGGCAGGTACAGAGAAGGGGACGACGAGAAGGAGCACTTGTTCCTACACTGATGACCGATTGGCAAAAGTGATGATGGTGGAGATTCGTACCCATTTTGCATAATGCATCTCTGTGTGCATTCACGTAGCCTGAGAGTTTTGGAGGATTTGAATTAACTGTTTCTTGAGCTCTACTAGTTGCTCCTAAATGCTTTCTTGCAGAATGATTAGGTGTCGTCCGATAAAGTTAATGCAAGATGAAGAAATTTAGTAGAGTTTTACTAAGACAATCAAGATATGACCAAACGTTCATAGTGCCAACCAGTCGGTTCAAGGAAATTTTTACTGCCAAAAAATCTTAAGAATATCTATGTTTCCATTCCTCACACAATGAGACCATCAATTTGAAGAAAATACCATAATTCTGTCAGACAGACAGTGGGGAATGAGTTACAAACATTCCCAAAACAAGATATCAAAAAGATGTGCTCATAATCCCACTCCAAAACTTAAAGACAGATGCCTATAACTTTATGATGTTAACTTATTCACAACTTGATATTATTCAAGTGCATAATTCTACAAACTTGCATTCACGCGGTGTTTACCCGTGATGAAGTCTCCATAAGACAAAAACGATAAAAGAACTTGCAACTTAGTTTTGCAAATTGTGAACCCGGCCTCGATCTATTAGAGTTGAAAGAGCTATCTTAGCTTCTTCTAGTGTCTCAACAGAATGCACATCTTCAAATGAAATTCTTTGTACGTTATACTGCACACGAGAGAAGTTACTATTAGACATCAAAAAAAGATAGAAGGAAAAAGAATGGCAGAAGGGGAAACCGATGTTTGTCGAAGCAGTATACCTGTGCACCTTGACGGACACGAATATCAGTCCCTTTGCTGTCTATCGATATAAGAGCAGCATCGTCTACATCAGCTTCCTTGGATAAAAGCTCTTTCAAGGGCTTCGAAAAGATTGCATTAAGTTCCTATGGGAAAAAAAAGTATGCAATCAGATTTAATTAAACATGAACACTAATAGCATGTTCAGTGTACTGTGTACAATACTTGACATTGACAACACAATTGACAAGACTTAAATTTTTTTCTTCTCTAATAAAGTCCAAACCTATTCGATCCTCTTCACCAAACATGCTATAAGGGTATGTTTGATACAGGGTAGTGGATAGGACTTGATAGCATAATAGACAAGATTTTAACTTATTTAATACTATATAGTCTACCTTGCCAAACAAACCATAAGTGCATCGTAATTAGACATAGCAATAAACAAAATTTAGCTTCGTTTCATTTCATTACCATCCAAGACAATCTAATTCACCTATCAAACTTGCCACAAATGTTTACAAGTGAAACGAAAATGCATAACTAGTTACTTACTAAAAGTACCTTGTATAAAAATAGCATCACCAAGTAGCAAATTGAATTAATTGAAGTATAGGTTGTGTTATGCAAAGTATAAAGACAGCAAAAAAACAAACCTTGAGATTGTGTTCACCTCCGTCGACTGCAATTTTATCAGGTTGAATGGCTTCATATTCTTTAACATCAATCCAAGCAACAGTTCCAAAGCCTCCAATGAAATATATATCGCTGTCAGTAAGATATCAACCCTTATAAGTTCCACTCAAGAATGCATTTGTCTTTTAGGAACTAAAATAGCACTACACAACGTATTTAGCCAGTACAAATTTAGGGAAACCGTTAAGATTTACTTAAAAACTTAATGAGATTTGCAATATGAGTGGATTTGGATTTTTAAAATTGTGATGAAGCGTAGATTTTAAAATAAAAAGAGCTAACCTTATATTCTGCATCCTGAAGTAGAAGAAGTTTCCCCACTGTTGAGAAGGCCCTTGATGATGCTTTGCTATGTGCTGTTTATGAGCCCATTCCTGGGGTTGCAGCAAGGCATAATCAATGTTCCAGATTTATTATATCTATTAATATCTAGTTTATAACTATACAGTCAGAGACATAATTTATCCATTAGAAACTCAATATTGACAGTACATTTGGCAATTCTGGATCCTATATCTATTATCCAAACGCAACATGATTGGACTGGAGCAATACATGTTTGGCTTAAGCTTATGAACAGTAAAATTTACATTCGTTCCCAGATAAGTTTGAATATGTTATTAGGTAAAGAAACACTTATTTTGGGAGTAAGAGTAACTCTTATATTAGAGCGAGTTATTTTCTAACTTTGACAAACAAAAAAATTATTTATTTTATAACTTATTTACCTAAAAGCAAACTTTTTAAGGAGAAACCAAACATGCTCAGATCTATTGATTCATTCTTAAATCTCATAGAAGATGAGAAAGGCAACTACCTGCAGGTCATCTGGAAGGGGGTAGACATCGCCAAAGATTGTTACCCTTGCATTTGATAAGCTATCCCATCCTGGAATCTATGAATTATGCAGGTTAATGTAATCCATTGATAGAGAAGCGCAAAAAAAAAAAAAACACATTAAAGCAAACTTTGAATTGCTAACCTGTACTACTACAGTGCACCTCGGATTGGCTATCAAATTTCGGGTGTGTATGGCCAATGGTGAAAGTGAAAATATTGGATCTGCAAGACCAAATATTAAAGTTATAACCCATGACACTAATAAATCTCATTTGATTTGGCAAAATTGTCTTGGCAGAAGTGGAAAAGTTTCTCTGCTGTGTAGTCTTTTTTTCTTTCTTTTTTCTTTTTGCATTTCTACCTGGCTACCCCTTTACATATGAAAAAGCGATATGTGGGCAATAAATCATTGAATTTGAATATAGGAGAAGTAAAAGAGGAGAACAATTATTTTAACGGGGATTTGAGAAAGAATAGCAAAAGGATATCTGGCTTAGGAAAGTGGACTATTTGGGACAATAAAAAAGAAATTTCGATGCTCTCAATTTAAGATGCAGGGAGTGTTATGGGAAACTACAATAGGGAGACAAATAAGACTATCCTGTAATAAACAAGAGAGCAAATAATGCATAACTTACGTCCCATAGGATCTTGAACAAAATCTACGAGTGAACCAAATGGATAACCATTCCTCCGGTGGTGCATTTGAGACATCATGGTACACAAGTGAGCAAACCTAGCCTACATTTATTTGAATGCAGAACAAAAAACATAAATACTAAGGAGAAATCATATTAGAAGCTCCTTTCAATAAATTACAGTTGCTAGGAGTATTAATTAATGAAGATAAACAAAAGTTTATAACAAGTAAGAATTTTGCCTGCTCCATTAAGTTTCGAACCGCTAAGGCTGGCCTGGGCAAGCCGTGAGCAGAAGTTGCACTTTGTACTCCCCCAGATATTGGGGTTCTGAAAAGACCAGCCCTTGTACCTCCCCCAGTCGTGCTTCCATGTGACAGCATGAGTGTCGGTGGCTTCATATTTGACGTGCTTTCTATTTTCTTTTCGGCACTTTGGTTGGTATCTGTATTACCCTTCAGAATATGAGAGAGGCCATCACAACAAAGCCAAAGTAGCCATTTGAAAAATCCATTGATGGACTATATCCAGAAAGAAATTCTAATTTACCATGATGAGCATTGCATAAGAATAAAAACATCTAGGGTCCGTTTGATTGCAAGAGTGGAATTCGGGTGGAAAGAAAATGAATTACAGGAAATTGAATAGCCTAGAATTGTTTTCTTGGGAATTGTCAATTAATTATGTTTGATTCGTATAATTTTCACATGAAAAATGTTGAAATTTTGGATCTTTTGGTGTTCGTTTGGCTTTTTTTTTTTTATGGAAATTGTCCATAGGGAAATTTTTTTTTACAATTGTCCATAGAATTTATTTTCATTGCCCCCCCCAAAAAGAAAGTAACTTGGATTGGTGGAAATTGGTTTTCCACAAAACCAAGGAAATGGTAAGTGTGTGAGCCAAACCAAGAAAATGATTTCCATCGCAAATTTTGGTTATCAAACAACACTTTTTTGGGAAGATGGAATTTTATTTCCAATTTCCATGGAAAATCCTCCAAATCAAACAGGCCCTTATGCTCCGTAAACAGAAGCATAGAATAGCTGCCAGCATAAAAAAGACTCTTAATATCTGTATTTACGTTAAGTGAGAGAAACAAACTGTTTTTGACACTTATGACTAATAGGATCGTATTTTATGTTTTGCAGCTTGGAATTTATATCTTCAAACAGGAAAATTATGAAAATTGAATCCCAGTTTCAATCACATCATTTTTAGTTCCAAATCGAAGGCCCCAATCCCATGCAGACATATTATAATCATAAATTTTCTAACAGATTTTATAAGACTAAAAAGTGATAAATTATTCTCTTAAAAAATTAAGCAAACAGGATTAGATAATGTTTTGTATTTACAAACAAATATAAACATAAGTCAAGAAGCGTGCTGCGCCAAATTAAATTATGGGTGCCATCTGTGAACTTGCACAAAAATTTCAAACATACGCAAATTATACACTCCTCTCTAGTAAGTACAAATTAACTGTAACATTTATTCTAGTTGATTCATAGCATGTCAGGCTAATCTTATTTGGTCGATTTATTTGTTCATCGCTCCATTAGTACCAATACTACAAGTTTCCCCACAAAATTCCGGCATGGAAATAAGTAAAATTGCATCTATCCCAATCCAAGTAACAGAAATTAAACAAGAAAAAAGCAAGAACAATTGTTGATTTTTTTGTCATACCTGAGATGAAAATAGAGTCTCTTCAGAAACTAAACTAAATCCACCATTATGATTATTCAAAAGGGAGTCTTCTTCTGCACCGCCATCCTCAGATATTTCACGTGCCAGCGCCAGAACTTGAGACCCTCTAACTAACGACGTCGTTTTATGAAAACCCAGAACGATTCGTACACGCCCACAATGCTTATTGCTTGTTATTTTGATAGAATGAATTGGTGGTGAAGAATTCTGTAGAAATTTGGGCATACGGACGGAGCGCAGAAGAGCTTCCGTGGAGGGATACGCACAAAAAGAAGCCATTTATGCAATGTTTGTGTTTGTATAAACTCTATGAACTTAAACGCAGTGGAATTTGAAGTAATTTTTGTGTAAGGAACAATTTTTTTTCCCCTTTTTCGAGGAAAATTGTAAAAGGGTTTTGCGAGGAGAGGTTTTTGCTTCGTGGGGATTAAGGTTTTCTGTAGGTAACGGACTCTGGAGTCGGTTTATTTAGTTGAAATTAAATGGGCTCAACTCATTCCTGCCCAGATTATATCGACCTTTTAGGCCCTGTAATGCTGTTAATGATTGTCATTAGTTAGGATCATGATAATGTGTTGATTTGGAATAACTTAAGAGTTGCTAAAAATTAAAATTAAAATTTAATAATATATTTCATTATATCCATAAATTTATTAATTTTCTAATGACATATTTAATAAACTTTTATCAAAATTTTCATCAAAAACTTTATCAAATAACCCCGTATGTAAATAAATTATTATGACTAACGTAATAACTAATAAAATAATCAATTCAAGATTAAAAAATGGTAAATTGACTCCACAACTTATTGAATAAAATAACAAGGAAAAGCAAGCTCTTTAAAGTAAAGAAAATTGTATTTTAGTTTTTAATTTATTTTTCGAATAACTAACCCATCTTTCATTCTAACATTTCATTATAATTAAACAATTTATTTTCAATAGCGAAAAATCGTTGAAATTCATAAATTGAGGTGTATCTTTCCATTACTGTAGGTAGCAATATCCTATGTTTGTCTCTTGTTTGTAACATTAAAATCACTTTTTATCGGCACATTTCAGCTTGTTTGGTAGGGATTTTTGGAGGAAGAATTGATTTTGAATAGTGATATGATGGGAAATGTGTGACTGAAAAAGAAGAAAAAATTATTTTATTGAAGAATTTGTGGTTGAAAATGAGAATCAATTCTCAAATAAAAAACAAACACCCAAAATATCCAGAAGTACTATCCATAACTCATTTTGATCTATTTATGAATCAGTTACAAATTACACTTCTGAAACATGCTTATAACTTCATATAGATGTGTATATATGAACTGTTTTCCTCTATAATGAAATTTTTTTTTAAAGCGATCTCAAGCATAATGCCCCACCCCAACTAAATAAAAGCAATTATGAATCCACCTGTCTCCAGTTTACAGGTACAATGCCTGCAAACAATGAAAATTCTTGCTTACCAAAATTCTTTGGAATAATCAACTTTTTTTTATTTGTTTGTTGTTGTCATTTGCTTTCAGCTTAAGATTTTCAAACTTTTATTTGGAAGTTTACCAACTGAACATCTCCCATTCTTTATTTTCTTCATTTTCTTATTTGTTCACATTAAACCCTTCTCTTTTTTTTGTGTTTTTAACATTTTTATTCCTCAATCTTAACATATTTGTTCCAATCATTTGTCAATAAGCTTTCTAAATTCTTCAGCTTAAGCATTCGACAGGTTAACGATCAGGATTGAATCTGCAAACCGATCGTTTAATCTTCTTGTTGCTTTTTGATCCAAGAAAATCAGTTTCTTAAGGTATCATAGTACCTGTCCTATGTTAATTTGGTGAAAATCATGCATACTTCATCTTACAGCCCCACGTCCCCTACTCCGTCCCCGCTGAATCTGTCCCCGGGAGTACTCTCAAGAGAAAAATACTCTTTCGATCCATTTGTTTCCTGTTTGTTTTGACGGATGGGTTTGTTTAGCCTTCACAGAAGGCCTAATTTCGCAGTGTAGTATCAAATCGACGTATTATAGTTCTAACAGATGAGGATATCGAAAAAGATTCCATCCCTTTGTGGAATTCGATTTTGGCTTCTAAGCCTTGCAGGAGCTCTTATGTTTTTAGTAATATGGACACAGCTGTCTGAAACTAATGATAGATTTCCTAGTACGAGTTTTCAACAGCCTGTAAGAATTCCAAGGAAAGGCCCTGATGATCCTCCAATCCTAGCTTATTGGATATTTTGCTCAAAAGGAGAAGGGAAAAGAATCTTGAGGTTATTAAAAGCTGTTTATCATCCAAGAAATCAGTACCTTTTGCACCTTGATTCTTCTTCGTCCGACCAAGAAATGATGGAATTAGCCCTTTCTGTGCACTCGGAAAAGGTTTTTCGCGCATTTGGGAATGTTAACGTTGTAGGAAAAAGTAATCCAGTCAACCTGATGGGGGCGTCGGCCCTTGCTGCGATGCTTCATGCCAGCGCTCTGCTTCTTAAACTTTGTACGACCTGGGACTGGTTTATTACATTAAGCACTGCAGACTATCCACTCTTTACTCAAGATGGTAAAGTGAATGCTCTGCCTTTTCAGCTTATAATTAAATTTTTTTTACTTATTTTTCTTTCATAGCAAGGTCGAGTGCTATTCAATCTTCCAAGCTGAACACGTTACATATGTTATCATTCGAAAATCTCCTCTATTCTGTGCAGATATCCTCTATGCTTTGAAGTTCTTGCCTAGAGATCTCAATTTTGTGCATTACACAAACAGCACTGCCTGGAAGAAGTAAGAAAAAAGCCACTTCTATTACAATTTTCTTTTCCTTCTTTGGAGTCTTTTGACATATCATATGAGTGTTTAAGGTGGCTGATTAGCCAATTTAAGGTAAAATATGTTTAGGACAACAACATGCAGGGCTGACTAAAAATCTGAGGTTGTTCCAAGAATCCTTTTTATGTATTAAAGAAGGACTTTTTTGTTGTTTTCCTTACCAATCAAGACAGTATATTGGCACCTACGGGAGCCTAAACTATTAAGACTTGGGTACCTTATGATAGGCTTGTTTGAGTTTTACCAATCTTGAAATCTCTATACTTGTTCGAGTATTATTTGGATCGAATTACTCGTTTAAACTCAATGAACTTAGATACCATAATAAAATTTGAGTGTCCATTTTAATAATTTAACCTTATTAAGAGTAACACAAACCCTTATGCTTGTATTTATTTCATCGTTATTTGTGGGATTTACCATTGACAAAAATTTAAGCAAAAAAATTGTAAAGGTCGAAGGCACGATTTGTCCTAGACCTAGATAGTTTTAGGGGCACCTTAAATTATCTAATATTACTCTAACCTCTTTCGTTTACCATAAATTTATGTTGGGAAATGCATGTATTTGTGCAGGAGACATGATGTTGGCAAGATTGTCGCAGACAGCAATCTCTATCTTAAGGAGAAGAGTGACATGCTCTATGCTGTAGAGACTAGAGAAATACCAGAGGCATTTCAATTATATGGAGGTTACTTATTATGTGAAACATAATTTTTAAAGTTACTTTTTTATTAACAAACATTAATTTCTACTTATTTTGGTTTTTGTTTTGAATTAGGTTCCCCATGGATGATATTAAGCAGGGCCTTGATAGACCATTGTGTGAATGGATGGGACAATCTTCCTAGAAAACTATTGATGTACTTAACAAATTCACTTTTCCCACTTGAATCCTATTTCCACACAATCCTCTGCAACACACCGGAATTTCTAAACACGACTATTAACACTGATTTAAGGTACATTATTAAGGACATTGCTATTGAAGTTGAACACGGTGCAATAAACATGTCAAGTTACGATGAATTATCTAGTCGAGCAATTTTTGCTAGGCCATTAAGAGAAAATGATCCAATCATGTTAGAAATTGACAACTACGTTCTAAAGCGTCCTAAAGAAGGGGTAGTACCAGGAAAATGGTGCAAGGGCGGAAGAATGAACGATAGCACAAGAATTCAAAATCCCTATGGAGATTTGTGTTCGACATGGGGAGACATCGATGTTATTAGCAAAAGAATTCAAGGTATTAAGCTTCGAAAGTTTTTCTCTCAACTTGCTACAAACCCAAAATTATGTACAGAACGAGAAATGAAATGAAATGTTATGTTGATTTTCTATTTACAAATTGTTTGTTAAGAGTGAAGAATCCTATATTGAAACGAGAAGAGCTATAGTATTGTATAATTTTATTTTCCACTATCCTTTTCTCATAAGAAAATATTTAAAATGATTATTATTTTTGAGTTAAATTTAGAAATAAGCAAGTTGTTTTATTTTGAAAATAACTCTTACACTTCAGTCAAAAATAATATTTACTTTTAAGTAAAAATATGTAACCATCTCTAAATGTGTTCAAAAACAGAATTTTGTATCATTTATGTAATGTGACTCTATCATAGTGTGAAATAAAACAATACTTATAAATTCGGAGCTCATTTACACATTCAAACAAAAAAAAAAGTGCAATTGCCAACCGGACAAAGGAAAATAAAATACCAGCCAATCGAGGGCTTTGGTAAAGCTTAAAAGCAACTAAATTCTAGAGCTGAATATGATCCGGTTTTGGTTCGATTTTCCTTAAAATCAAATCAAACCCGAATTTTTTGGTATTTAATAAGTAGAACCGTCTGGTCTAAATTTAATAATGGAACCTTTCTGGTTCGGTTCCGATCAGTTCGGTTCGGTTCCATTCGATTATTGGATTTCGTACAATAATTAATTTTTTTAATATTTACAAAAACACTACATTCATTCACCTAATTACATATTCAATTTTAGCTTTACAAAATAACGTGATCCAGTTCCGTGATATCTTTTGCGCTTCTTTTTGTTGAGTTCTTTATAATTTTGGTTGTTAAAATTACAAGGGCAAGATAGTGAGCTCAAAATAGTAAAGAGAGACTTCAAATTCGACTTCTCCAGACCAACAGAAACTGCATTGCGGTAGAATAAGAAATTTGGTAAAATTTAGGTCTATTTGATTAATTGAACTTAGGCTGAAAATTAAAAATAGGAAAATCATATTTTGGGTTTGGGATTGGTGAGAGCTCGCTAGTTTTGACATGCTTTTAAGCGATTTTAAAATTTCAATTTTTTACATTTAATCGTATAAGTTTTGTATTAATTCTTGATAGTTTAGGTGGTTCAATTAGTTTTGATTTTTGATAAAATTGTTTAAAATATTTTACCTTTTTTTACTCATGAAAAAATTACTTACCTTGATATAACCTAGAAATTACTCCTACGTTACGAGCGAGTTATTATTTTCTCTAATTAGTAAACAAATTATTTATTTTAAAATTTGAGATTAGCCCCATTTGACAATCATTAAAATGCGTTTTTTTTTAGAAAATCGAGTTTTAAAATAATTATTTTTTGGAGAATGTATGGTTAAAAATAATAAAAATTTTGAGTTTATGTATGAAATATTTTATTGTAAGAATGTATGGTTGAAAATGAATTTAAATATATATATTAATGATTGAAAGGCTAACTCTCTTTATTTCAAAATTTCTTATTTCTCATATTCATTTTCATTTTACACTTAAAAAAAAAGTGTTTCCTCATTCTTTAACCACAAATTCTCCAAAAAATCACTACTCAAATCAAAACATTACTTGTCCCCAAGTTTTCTTTGTAATGGTCATCAAATAGGGGATGATAACACACCCAAATGGTCAATGAACTTTGTAAAAGATTTTCACGGAATTGCTGAACTTTAAAAATCACTCAATTTAATAATTTATTACTAAACTTTGCAATTTGTAATCTCGTCCATCATTGACCTCACGGTCCATAAAAGATTTGACGGAATGCTAACGTTGCTGCACATGTAGCACTATGTCTCAACTGATTTGTCATCCACGTATGCAACCATACGACGTCAGTGATGAATGAGATTACAAATTACAAAGTTTATTGATGAATGTGATAATTTTTAAAGTTCAATTACCAATTAAAACCTTTTGCAAATTTGGTTATTATTTACACATTTTCAATAAAATAATATTATACGTAAATCCAAATTTTTTCATTATTTTTTAACCACACATTCTTCAAAAAATCATTATTCCAAAATACATTTTTCTCTTCTCTCTACAAATTTAAAAAAAGGTTTTGAAATAGTGATTTTTTTGTAAAAAATGTGTAATTAAAAATTAATTTGAGAAAAAAAATAATTTTATTTTAATAGTTGTCAAATAAGGCATGGTCCCAATCCCACGCCATCTTAAGCCTTTTCTTCCCTAGAAAGCATCCAAATTGATTTGTTTTGCTTCAGATTGATTGATTCTAGCCACTAGAAAGAGACAAATAGATTTCCGTAAATGTCTCAACAACTTTGAAAATATCTCTGGTGATGATTAGTATGCCTTTTTTCTACCTGTTAATTTTTCCAAGACCTTTTCCTTTTCCTTTTTTTGTTGTTGAGAGAGGGGAAAAAAAAATATTTTCGAAGAGTAATTTTTTAGAAAATGTTTGTTTACAAAATGAATCTTGCTATAGGTATTTCAAGATTTATATAACGGATTACACAATGCCACATTTTGCACTTCATCATTTGTCAGTTTAAAATATTTAACTTTACCATCCAATCTCTTACCCCATCATTTTCAGTAACCTTTTATGTACATTTTTTCATGTAGAAGTGGCAAAATTTTTCAAAAATAAGGAAAAATTTTGGATTTATACGTAATATTATTTTATTGAAAAATACGTGAATAATAATTTAAATGGTCACCGAACTTTGGAAATGGTTTTCACAAAATTTGTAAACTTTAAAAATCACATCATTCATTACTAAACTTTGCAATTTCTAATCTCATTCATCACCAACCTCACGTGGCTGCATATGTGGATGCCAAATCAGTTGAGACATAGTGCCATGATGCAGCCACATCAGTATTCCGTCAAAATTTCTATGGACCGCGAGGTCGGCGATGAATGGGATTACACATTGCAAAGTTTAGTGATGAATAGTGTGATTTTTAAAGTTTAGTGATCCCGTGTAAACCTTTTGGGAAGTTTGGAGACCATTTTGGTTATTATCCCTCAAATAGGGGATTAGTACCCAAATTTTCTTTTTAGTGGAAACAAGTTTGACTGGACCTAACAATTATCAATGAAAAAAGCCCGCTGTCGTCCAATATCCACCGTCCATTGATCCCCAATCCCTCGATCTCCTCCATTTTTCTGCTACTCCTCAATTCCCCGATAACCCGAGCCTTCAAATTCTCCGTTATATCTATCCAATTTTGTGGTATTTTTTCTCTCTTTTTTTGCTAAATTACTCATAATTCAGTTTCATATTTTCTTCGCAAGTTTTAGCTTAGGCTCTATTAATTTTTGGTTTCGTGAGTGTTGAATTAATTATGAAGTTGAATGTTGCTGCGTTCTTATCCCTAGCGAATGTGCCTTTTTCTAGGTTTTCAGAAATTGATGTTAATTATTTTTCGAGTAATGATAGGGAAATGGCTAATTAGACAATCGTTTCAAGAAGTTTAAGTGCATTGCTACTATTTACGATGCTCTCTTTCTCTCTCGGAAAGGTTTCAAACTAGTTTGAAGTGAAAATGGATAGTATGCATGGGAGCCAAGTGGGAATGATGGGCTATATGCAAGAGCAAGATCATCATCATCATCCTGGGATGCATCATCAAGTGAGCAATGGGAGTGTGATGGACCATGAAGAGCACGGCCATAACAGTGGTGATGGTGAAAATGAAGGTATGGATGGGGAGGTCTCTGCTGATCCCGGGAATTTATCTGATAACCATGGTGCATTGGTGTCTCAAGGCGTTGAGAATAATAATCAGCTAACACTCTCTTTTCAGGGCCAGGTTTATGTTTTCGACTCTGTCTCTCCTGAAAAGGTACCTTCCTTCTACAGAGATAGAATTTTAATGCTTCAGTTGTTTGTATATTTTAATTAACTAATATGTGCTAAACTGAGGTTAACTTACCGGTTTTTATCACGTTATTTGCTAATAAAGACGAAATTTGTGATTACTTGGTTGTTTGGCTGACATGCTTTCTTCCTAGCAGGAGTATTATACTAGTATAAGCGTTTACTCATCGTAGTATGCACAGTGAACTGCCCAATGCATTGACTTCTAAATTTAATTATATAGGATTTGCACAAGATGAATAGGTGTAGACGAAACAGAATCATGAATACGTTCTTAGTTGTTATTTGGACAAAGAATTGTGTTGCTAAGGAGCATAAAATCGGGACAAGTATGTTCCTTGACACTTCACGCAAGTAAACTAAATCAGTGGCATCTTTCATGCTTGTTGTTTATACTATAGTGACTATGCATGTCTCAAAGTATGTGCAAAGTGCAGATTTTTCTGCATCTTCACATTTTTTATGTTGATGGTAGACATCAATTTTAAAATTGAGATGTTTTAGTTTTTAAGTTTTCCTATTTTTGTCCTTATCGTAGTCTTCTTGAGATGATAAATTTCAGGTTGTTTTGATGATTTCCTTCAGGTTCAAGCTGTACTTCTTTTACTTGGGGGACGTGAAGTACCTTCTAACATTCCTCCGGTTCCAGCATCCACTTATAATAGTGGTGTATGAATAACTTGAATTAACTTATTGTATTCAGCGTTTTGTCTCGTCTAGAACCATCTGATGATCATTTAAAACAGGGTCTATCCGGTTCCCCACAGAAGTTCAATGTCCCTCAGAGATTGGCTTCGCTAATAAGATTCCGTGAGAAGCGGAAAGAACGGAATTTTGAGAAGAAAATTCGTTATACTGTTCGTAAGGAGGTTGCTCTAAGGCATGTAGATTAGATTTTTCCCTGAGATTCTGCATTATGTTTGAAGTCACACTTACACGGACTTGGTTTATTTTTCTTACACGTTTTCTTTGGATTATTCTCTCTAATCGTTTTCTAACTATTGTAGGATGCAGCGAAATAAAGGACAATTTGCATCCTCAAAGCCCAGTCACGATGATTCTGCATCAGCAGTTTCGAGTTGGGAGTCAAACCAAAACTGGGGAGCAGATGGCACTTCGTCCCAAATTCAAGAGATTTTGTGAGTTCACATGTCATATGCACATCATCATCAATTTTGTTATTTAGATCTCTTTTACGGACTGTTGCCAACTGTTTGTTAGTATTCTTGTTCTTGATATCTCCCTAGTCCCTTCTCCTCTCTTTCCGTCACTTTGTGTTTACTCAAGTTACTCTCAACTTTTGACATTGGATTTTGTTATAATTTGTCACCTGATGCTAATGTAATTTGGTGAGCTGCTATATTGAGAACACTTTATACGACCCTAAGTGTTTGAGATGTTATAGGACTAAAAAGCTCAGTACAGAAGTCCTCTTTAGCCTGATACTATGGTACGATATCGTGGCTAATGGATTTCAAAATGTTATCATTGCATGGGTATGCAAATTGTTAGTTGCTTGGAGCTTCTTGGGTACTGCTAGGAAATGTTCACCATTCTAGTTCTGCATTTCTGTTAAGCATTCTGACCAACGACTTACTGCCCTTAATATTCACTTTTCCCCACTGAAATCTTTTCTCTCACTGATTTGCACTGTTTTATAAAGTCATATTATTACGAGTAATCTAATATTTTTTACTACTTTTTTACTAACCTCTTGGTGTTTAGATTTATACCCCAATTTTGTTGTTGGGTTCCCTAGCAACAAGGATTCTAAAGATATATATAATAAGCAGGCATCGAAAAGCTCTTTTTTCCTGATATATTGTATCTAACACTGAGCAATGATTTGTGCTATTTGTTCAAAAAATTATGTAGCACCATGTCCGAAAGGAGTATTGGAGCATTAATGTTTTCCTTGAAATCCATGCAGCTGTCGGCACTGTGGTATTGGCGAGAAATCAACTCCAATGATGCGACGGGGGCCAGATGGGCCGAGAACCCTTTGTAATGCCTGTGGACTTATGTGGGCTAATAAGGTGATTATGGGGATTAATCATATTCAAGTCGCACATGCTGTTTTAAGATATGTTTATTTCGGTATTTAGCTTTAGTATGCACCATATTTTATGAACTTCTCCCTCTTTCAAATATCTTGTTTGTTATGCAATCTTGTTTTGCTTCTCTACTAAGTACTAGTTTTTCTGCACTGCAAGTAATCGGTACTTAATCCTATACTTTTTGTAAGTTTCACCTTATTTTCTTTCTTTCTTATTTATTCGAGTTTGGGAAGTTGTCATTAAATAGTCTTTAGTCATGTGCTTGACTGCCTATGATTTCAAGGCTTCTGTGCAAATTCAGAGGCCCGGCATGTGTTTTATAGTTACTGCACAGTGCAGGTGTTAGATTTCATTTAAACAATCCTCCTGTATTCTCATTCTTGCTTTCTCTGAGATTTTGTACTATGAGGGAATTTTGTCGAAGTAGATAACAACGTTTATCAAAGCAACTTGTGCTGCCAGGGGACAACTAAGTAATCATTCCCTTGTATAATACACATCCAGATTCAGCAAGGAATCCCATCTTTTCCGTGTGCACTGAGCTTTTTCTTTCTAGGTTAACAACGCTAGAGGTGACTGACATTTTCGTGATTTTTCAAGTTGATCACTAAGACTTTCGTTTGTTTCAAGTTGTTTTTTTCCTGATTGGGTCACACAACTTAATTTTATTATGATTTTGTTTTTCTGCCCATGTTTGTTAGTTTGACTAACAGAAAAGCTGACTTGAAAGTCAGGTTGCAAAGAACTAGATCCTCGCTTTGCCTTTTCTGTCACCGTTAGTCAAGCTAATGGACATGGACCGAGTGACCCAATAATAGCAGTGTCCAAGTTAAGTGACCAATTTAAATTTTAAAATAAAATGAAGATTAGTGACCAACATAAAATTTCACAAAAAGTTTCGTGTGCTAATTTATTCAACCTGTTCATTTCTTATGATGCTGTCCTCACATCGACTTATCGAATCAAGCCTTTACTCCATAAAAGTTTGGTTGCTCTGCTGTTGATTACTTTATGTTTGTTTACCTTGTAATTGCACAAAGTTTCTAAAGCCAATAAATAAGCTAACCACTCCAGTTATAAAATTTATTTAAGTTGAAACTGTGACATAATGTCTGCTTTTGCCTTGTCCAAAATTGCTTATTCTAGGGAACTTTGAGGGACCTCTCAAAGGCAGCAAGCCCTGTGGGAACAAATCCTAAACGCAATCGAAGTGACGAGGTAAGTTATCAATTAGCCCTTGTTTGACGCTCTTTATTTGAAAACTCGTTATTTCTCATATTCCTTTTCAACCTTACATTCGCACAATAAAATATTTTTGCACGTAGACCCAAAACTTTCTCCTACTTCAACCACACGTTCTCCAAAAAATCACTATTCATAACATCATTTTCCCCAAATTTCTCTTTATAATGGCCATCAAACAAGGGCTAGTATTCTCTTTGTGCCACATATAAATGTGTGTCAATGTAGATTTCAGGAATTTGTAAATGTTTGTGCCTATTGCATGGTGTAATTTATATTTATCTCCTTGCAGAATGGAAATTTGGAGGCTGAGCAAATGGTTCTCAGAGCTGCAGCCAATGCTGATGATTTGTGATGGCCATTGTTGTATGTTACGACAAGCCGGTTCCAGCTATTTATATTGCAGTGGAAGTGATGTCGATTGAAAAAGTTTTGATTGCGGGATTGTTCCAAATTGTTATTGTTCATTATTTATCCTTTTGTTCTAACGGAATGGTTGGTTCTGCGTAATCAGCAGTTTCTTCTGTATTATTTTTCTTCATTATTAACATCGTTTAGTATTGCTTAGTTCACCTTATTGAACCTGCTATAACCAAACAGGGCTAAGAAATTATTCGTGGCAGATGGATTGCTAACTCATTGGATTTTAAACAAGAAATATGAACTAAAATGTTGAGGATGGAAAGTATAAGAGTAAAGCCACTTTACCCGAAAAAGGGTTTACACCTTGGGTGACCGATTCTCACATTGCGTGTGGGTTTCGCGTGAATAAAATAATGTCCGACCTCCTAGGTGTGTGTGTGTGTTCGGTCATATCTAATGTTCGTGTAGCTGGTTCAAAATATAATTTCACCATCTACGGGAGATTTTCACACGTCTCTAAATTTGAAAATTCACAAAAAAATTTCATATGCACTAAATTTGTTCAAAAATATCACTTTTTTATTGTCAAATGTTCAAACTACCCTTGATGTCACCTTTGTAAAAGTAATTAATACTTGATTGGAATGTCATTAATAGTTTGATGTGATGATTACATTTTGATTATTTTATTCTTTTTATATATGTATATTTAGCTAAAAAAATGTATTTTCTTATTATGGGGATTAATCATATTCAAGTGGCACATGCTGTTTTAAGATATGTTTATTTCTGTATTTAGCTTTAGTATGCACCATATTTTATGAACTTCTCCCTCTTTCAAATATCTTGTTTGTTATGCAATTTTGTTTTGCTTCTCTACTAAGTACTAGTTTTTTTGCACTGCATGTAATCGGTACTTAATACTATACTTTTTGTAAGTTTCACCTTATTTTCTTTCTTATTTATTCGAGTTTGGGAAGTTGTCATTAAATAGTCTTTAGTCATGTGCTTGACTGCCTATGATTTCAAGGCTTCTGTGCAAATTCTGAGGCCCAGCATGTGTTTTATAGTTACTGCACAGTGCAGATGTTACACTTCATTTAAACAATCCTCCTGTATTCTCATTCTTGCTTTCTCTGAGATTTTGTACTGTGAGGGAATTTTGTCGAAGTAGATAACAACGTTTATCAAAGCAACTTGTGTTGCCAGGGGACAACTAAGTAATCATTCCCTTGTATAATACACATCCAGATTCAGCAAGGAATCCCATCTTTTCCGCGTGCGCTGAGCTTTTTCTTTCTAGGTTAACAACACTAGAGGTGACTGACATTTTCGCGATTTTTCAAGTTGATCACTAAGACTTTCGTTTGTTTCAAGTTGTTTTTTTCCTGATTGGGTCACACAACTTAATTTTATTATGATTTTGTTTTTCTGCCCATGTTTGTTAGTTTGACTAACTGAAAAGCTGACTTGAAAGTCAGGTTGCAAATAACTAGATCCTCGCTTTGCCTTTTCTGTCACTGTTAGTCAGGCTAATGGACATGGACCGAGTGACCCAATAATAGCAGTGTCCAAGTTAAGTGACCAATTTAAATTTTAAAATAAAATGAAGATTAGTGACCAACATAAAATTTCACAAAAAGTTTAGTGTGCTAATTTACTCAACCTGTTCATTTCTTATGATGCTGTCCTCACATCAACTTATGGAATCAAGCCTATACTCCATAAAAGTTTGGTTGCTCTGCTGTTGATTACTTTATGTTTGTTTACCTTGTAATTGCACCAAGTTTCTAAAGCCAATAAATAAGCTAACCACTCCAGTTATAAAATTTATTTAAGTTGAAACTGTGAAATAATGTCTGCTTTTGCCTTGTCCAAAATTGCTTATTCTAGGGAACTTTGAGGGACCTCTCAAAGGCAGCAAGCCCTGTGGGAACAAATCCTAAACGCAATCGGACTGACGAGGTAAGTTCTCAATTAGCCCTTGTTTGACGCTGTTTATTTGAAAACTCATTATTTCTCATATTCCTTTTCAACATTACGTTCGCACAATAAAATATTTTTGCACGTAGATCCAAAACTTTCTCATACTTCAACCATACGTTCTCCAAAAAATCACTATTCATAACATCATTTTCCCCAAATCTCTCTTTATAATGGCCATCAAACAAGGGCGAATATTCTCTTTGTGCCACATATAAATACGTGTCAATGTAGATTTCAGGAATTTGTAAATGTTTGTGCCTATTGCACGGTGTGATTTATATTTATCTTCTTGCAGAATGGAAATTTGGAGGCTGAGCAAATGGTTCTCAGAGCTGCAGCCAATGCTGATGATTTGTGATGGCCATTGTTATATGTTACGACAAGCCGGTTCCAGCTATTTATATTGCAGTGGAAGTGATGTCGATTGAAAAAGTTTTGATTGCGGGATCGTTCCAAATTGTTATTGTTCATCATTTATCTTTTTGTTCTAACGGAATAGTTGGTTGGTTCTGCGTAATCAGCAGTTTCTTCTGTATTATTTTTCTTCATTATTAACATCGTTTAGTATTGCTTAGTTCACCTTATTGAACCAAACAGGGCTAAGAAATTATTCGTGGCAGATGGATTGCTAACTCATTGGATTTTAAACAAGAAACATGAACTAAAATGTTAGGAGGCGCTAAAGGTTGAGGATGGAAAGTATAATTTTACCATCTACTTGAAGGGACACAAATGTCATTTCGTATATTATCTCCCAACATGGACCAAAATCCACTTGATTGATTTTATCCCTTCAGTTGCCTTGTTCTACTCTCTTCCCACCACCAATGGCCTCCTCTTTATGCTCAAATCTTAATTTCCTACCCACATCTCAATACACGGCGGCGTCCGTCAGACTCCACCGCTTCTCCATGATAAGGTGTGGCCCACGAGACAACCGTGGCCCACTCCTCAAAGGTCGGATCCTAAGCACCGAAGCCATTCAAGCCATCCAGGCCCTCAAACGTGCCCAAAGAACCGAACCGACAAATCTCCCCACCCACATCCTCTCCCGTCTCATCAAATCAGACCTCATCGCCGCCTTCAAGGAGCTCCTGCGACAAGACCACTGCATTCTCGCCCTCAAAGTGTTCTCAACCGTCCGGTCAGAATACAGTGCTGATTTTGGCAATTATGCCGACCTGGTTATTGCATTATCCAGGAATGGATTCAGAGATGAAATTGATGCACTAATTCTTGATATGGAAAAGGAAGGAGGGATTCAGTGTGATGATATCAAGGGATTATCGAAGCTGATTAAGGCTTTGATTTATGCCGAGAGGAAAGAATCAACGGTCAGGATTTATGAGATGATGAGAAGGAGTGGGTGGGGTTCCAGTGTTACAGTGGATGAGTATTCGGGCAAAGTGTTGAGCAGAGGGTTGAGGATATTTGGAGAGGAGAAAATGGCCGATGAAATTGATGAGGAATTAAGGAGATTTTGTAGGGGCATTTTCGAGAAACCAGGGGTTTAGATTTATTTTTTAAAAAAAAAAATTGGTTTTATACTGTAATGTTTAATAGTTTATTACTTTATTATGAAGTTTGAAATAATTATTTTGTTCTGAGATAGAAAACTGTCCTGTTTTTAAAATTTTATAGTAGTAGTACAAATTAATAAAAAAATTCCAAAAATATAATTTTTAACTTTTGGTGTACATCTATGATCTATCACATTTTAATCGAACAGTTCCAAAAACAAAAAAGAATTTTTTCAATCAATCTTTTATTGGCAACACGGCACGTGTCATTTATAGGGAAAGGAGGAAGTGCACAAACAGCATTCTCTCTTAGCCAAATGGAGCTTAATTAATTACATTCATTAATTGATTATTTTATTATAAGGGTCACTATGCATGATGTGATTATGTTGGTTTGATTTCTTAGACATTAATGACATGTTTGTTAAGGAAAAAAAAAGTTAATATCTTCTTTGTTCTTTTATCTCATCATGTCAGTACTGCACACCACAAATGCACTAACATAATCTGTACTAAATTGACTCGATGTACTAAACTGACTTACGAATCCACAGGTTGAACAACCCTCTGCTCTTTCTCACGAAAAAATAAAATTAAAATAGGAAAATACAACAATGAAGTTCATTTCATGTTGGAAATACTGAATTTTGAGGACACAAAACAACTGCAGAAATGACTTAAAGTCTTCCACCTATGATCTTCTTCAGTTGTCTTACCTTTTTGAATTCTGGAACTTGAACATTCTTTTCCACTTCCCAAGCAAGTTGAGACATCCCATTGAACGATGATTTTGCGCCCTTCTCATCCGTCACTTCCCTAGGGAAAGGAATTCGCACCTCAAATACATCATTTTGGGTAGACCTGAGGTGCATGTCAAAACCTAGCCGGTCGATCCAAACCATCTTGGCATCCAACACCTGGTTTTTAGCGGAAAAAAGAATCCAGTGAAAAATGAGTGCAGGAATATAATCCCAAGATAGATTCTCCACTTGTTTTTTATGTAACAAACATTCTCCATCCTCAAGTAAACAAAAAGGAACAAAGGAAAGGAAGGTCTTCTAGAAAAAGAAAAGGACGTTCGATCATTATGTTCTTGAGTCCTGTTCCAGCATACCAAACATGAACTGAGTGGGTAGTACTAGTACTGCACGATTTAAGCCTATCCAAGATTAAAGTATTAAGCTTCTTCAAGAGTAAATTTCCTTTCACCTGGGAACATGCACACAATTTTGCTGCGTTCCATTCTACATTGATAAATATGCAAGTGATTCATACGAAAATTCTTAATCACAACCTGGCAGCTTTTTACGCAAAAAAATAAAATAAATAAAAATAAAAAGACAAAATGGGATGGAGTTCCACTCTTAAGGAATGATGGATTGTATTTTTGGTTAATGGGAAAGTGTCCAACTCCAGAAATGCAGTATAGACAGTGTGCACTCCCCTTTCTGACTAGACTAACTTGGAGAAGGGTCAATCTCCTCTGGAGCATGCTTCATAGCCAGTCATTCATTTGTCCACACCAAATAGTAGAATCCGTCTCTCAGCAATTCTTTATCTGCTAAAGCATGGGGTTTCATGGGAAAAATTGTGTTACCCCAAATCCAGGGTTTTGGTTTCAGGGATCTTAAAATCCTTCAACCTTGCCATGTTAGCTGAACAAGGTTTGGCCATGTTATCATAATTAGCAAATTTCAACTTCTTATTTTCTATATATCACCGAGTCTTTACCTCCACTAATACCAATATTAGAGAATAACATAACTGGGAATGACATGAGTCTCCTTTCTTGGTCATTTCAATTATAGGGCTTCCTCTCAGTTCAGCACTTAATGTCCTCCTGTATGAAGGAAAGGATTCCATGGAGAATAACAGATAAAAGTGAATCCAGCTATGTGCAATGAAAATATATCAAGGTATAAGTGCAGTGAGTGCATGGAGGAAAAATTGAGGACTGGAAACCAAGAACAAAAAATTGAGGACTGGAAACCAAGAACAATTTTGAGAAAACATTTTAACAAGAATCGCCTACTAATGCAACGCAGAACAATGGAAAAATAGAGAATATAGATGAAAAAGTATCGATGAAGCTGGCACCAAGTCTACTGAGAATAAAACTTGGGTATTTGTTGCTTTTGTAGATAATATAATATACAATTTCCTCACAACGTAACAGTGCATGGCCCAAACCTTAAGAATGTCTTTTTCTTCCATATCAATCCTTTAACATACAACAGGTTAACCGATACTACAAAGAAAATATTGTAATACTTGTTCCTGGAGTGCTAATACGAGGAGCTAAATGATCAAAAATGGTAACACTATATTTTGCATAGAGTATTGGACTGACTGGACCCTACTACTAGACATGATATTAGCTTCTCTTTCTACTTTAATACTGTATAAATAATATACTCTACCGAACAAGCCATGTTAGGTTGTATTATTGTTTTGGGTGCAAACCTGGAAATCCAAATCCACGTAAATGTTGCAAAAGCGATGAACATCCTCCATATTGTGTGTGTTTATATCATCAATAATCTTCTTTGCAAAGTCTCGAAGTGGATCTGGATTAGCTAATGCATATTCAGATGACGTAACCCACATACCATCCTGCAGTTGTTCTTATTAGTATTTACAAGCTACAAATAGTTACCAGTACATTTCTTTAGGAAAAAAAAGGCACAACAATGTGCTTCATTCAAGAATGAAAAATCAAAGAACGCTCATGTTGGATACAACAAACCTCAGCAAAATCATCCATCTGAAGTGCCCGTTCAACATCAATTACATATATGTTATTTTCATCTACTTCTTCTCCAAACCGCTTCTTCCATGCTGAATGAAGCCTCTATCAAGAAGAAACTTGAACAACCAAATGAGAATTCAATTTATATCAAAAGTCTTCATTTGAGTTATCAAAACTACACCGGTTTTCAAGACCAGAGCTATCAACCACTGAGCCATCTCTTCAAAAGACAAATTTCATTTTATTCCTCCAAATAGAACATGGCCATATGGGTGGATACCACTTCTATATGTAGAAAGATCTCAAGTGTGAATCTACCGATAAATCTATCTATCCGTATATAAATAACCCAACATGCCGATTTGAGAAAATAACTTGTACATTATATTGTACACGAGTGCAGTTTTACCAATTTCATGGAAATGTCTCGGTTCAACGTTGCTTTTGAAAACAAGCTTCTATAGAAGAAGACAACATTTATGCACTAACAATATGCCGTGCCACTATCAATATATAATGATTTTCAAATAAATGGCTGCATGATCTGGTTCTGAGATCTGAAGCTTTTCAAATAATCCTGACTAATGCAAAATTATTGAATGCATCTGACCCTCTGCTGGTCACAGCATTAGTAGACAAGTAACAGAGACTAACATAGTCATCAACTAAAATTCTAACTTAAGATTAATCATCTTCCCACAGTTCTAAAACTACGCCCTTTGTGAGTCAATAGTGCTACATGGACAATGATGATTGACAATGTTTGTTAACAATCATGATTTGACATCATCACATTCATCCATTTCAAAAAATTTCAAAAACTCTTTTTCCAAATCAACTGTCCAGATTTTGTCACATTAAACATTGTCAACAAACCTTGTCACCCATCATTGTACAAGTAGATTAATTCTTGTGAATAACCGAAATTAATGGACCCTAGCATATATCTAGTGAGTTCGTTCATAACTATAGAAACGGACAAAGACTAAGAGTTGAACCTTAACACAAGCCTAACAGTACAAGGACATTCCCTTCTGATAACTTCCTATGTCTCACACTCGCATATTTATTGTAATGAAATCCTCTTTCTTCTTAGATCATCATAGGAATTCATTTGTCCCTATTATAAAATTTCACTTACTATAAAACAGGTCGATGAATTCAAGCTAAAAAATAAATGAAGACTCTTAGAACGTGAACATGGTTTTTTTTTGGTTTTACCTTCAAAGCCATTCTATCTCCAGGTTTATCAAGGTTCCCATGTATCGTGCATTGCGGCGTCCGCAATCCAGATTGCTCTAGCTGGTAGAAAGCAATTCTTAATCACAATCCATTATTTTCCTTCCACTTACAAAAATTTGAAATTCAAACAAACAATAATTTGGCTACACATAATTCTCCGCACCAAAGAAACTGTACAATTCAGTGAGGAAGCACAAACCTGAACATGAAGACTGCACCTCTTATCCGAAAACAGTTTCCTATTGGACTCATTCAAGCACAAAATTGGAGTCCCATTTAGGTCAACTGCAAAGCGAACGCCACATCCCAGAGGCCAACCCTCTTGACTCATACCAGAAAAAGTGCCCACAGAAGATAATTCCATGATTGTCCTCGAAATCTCAGCAGGAAAAGGCTTGGGATTGCTGGTCAATTCCAAGTTTGTTGGCTCTGAAACTACAGCAACTGAGCATTTCAAAGGTTGAATTGAAAATTTGTGACATGGGTTTGTTCTTAATGGCTTAAATTGCAAGGTGATTGGTTCTAAGGGTGAAAATGAAGGCCTGAAAAAATGAGTTGTGGGGAAAATTGAAGTGGGCAGATGAGAAGTGGGGAATTTGGTTTGGGGAAGCATTTGAGCAGAGAAATTAGTGCGGTTCTGTACAAGAGCCTCTGGTAATTGGAAGAGGAACGGAGAATTTTGGATTGTGCAGCGTGTGAACCTGAGATTGGATCAACACGAAGCGATAATTTAATTGACATTAATTCATTCAGAGGGAATATATACATACACTTCAATGTGCATACTTAAATTAAATATAAATGTTAATTAATTTTGAAGTAGAATTAATAATTGCGCATACATCAACAAAGATTAACGTTAAACTAATGACATGAAATACATACATAAAGCTGATGAATGTCAATCTTTTTATAATGAATCTAAGCCCTTGTTTGATAGGGAAAAATGTATTTTAAAGTAGTGATTTTATGAAAAATGTGTAAAATTATTTTATTATAAAAAGTGTAGTTGAAAATGAGCTTTTTAAAAAATGGAGTTCAGGCATGGACTAACTTAATCGAATTTATCAAATGTAGATTAATGATATTTAAATAATTGAGACAATGACTGACGATAATGTTGAAATACATTTATTAATTGAATAAAGTTTCTAACCTCGAAATAGAAGGAAATTGTGAAGTCTTCAAAAATTAGCTTGCGATAGAGGGGATCCAAATTTAAAATAAAAATGAATACATTGTATATTTTCACATATCCGCGTAAAGAACAAATTGAAAATTAAGAAATACTATTACGTATATACTCACCGTGTAGAGAACGAGATTTTAACATTAATCTTTTTCCTTCTTTTAAGGTTAATATTTCCTGTAGCCACATGTTAAATCATCTTTTGTTTCCACTTTTGGTACCAATTATAGAATCCAAAAGAGAGTTTCATGAATTTCTCAATGAGATTTTAAATAAAAATGGACAATATTATCCTTTCAGTCACATGACTGTCCGTCCATTTAAATATTCAACAAGTCGTTTCCCTTGGCTTTGGACATGGATGGCACTAAATGGTAGATTAGGCTCCCGTTTGATCTACATTATTATCTCATTAAAATGAAAAATATGACCATTATCCATCATATCAACATTTAAATTCAAATTTTCTATCTCTTGTGTGTGCCCCAATAACGACTATTTTTCATTCTCATTTTATAATAATTTGGCTCAAACAGGGCCTAAGATACACAATTAAGTATGGTTTTGCACATGGCCGATACAGGTCACAGGGCCTCTAGTTGAGCCTAACAATGCGTAGTAGGATGGATTAATTACACCTCACATTAGCTATACTTTTGAACAAAGCGATTGCATCTCGGGTTTTCAGATGGAGCATTTTTATAGATACTTAATGCAGCAATGTCACTATTGGTGAATGGCCCAATGGTGCCGCATCCTTCGAAAAGAGGTCCCAATTCCGATTGAGCGAAATGATTTCATCTCCCTAAATCACTATCACTATTTCTGGGAAAGCAAGTGTAGCAAGCCCACTTCCTACTAATTTCCACCTTCACCCAACAGTTGGGGGTTACAATTGGACTTCATAGAATGATAATTAGTTTTAAATAGAGAAATTATAAAAAATCAGGTGTTTAAAGATCGATTTTTAAAAGCGGGTCTACAATTTATTTATTCAAAAATCAGGTATTTTATTTTAAATATTAAACACTTAATCTATTCAAACCCTAAACTAATTCATTTCTCTCCCAATCTACCGTCAGCTTCTCTCTCACCCGCCGCTACCGCCGCTACCGTCAGCTTCTCTCTCACCCGCCGCCTCCACCGCCACCATCAGTCTCTCCTCCCTTCTCCCTTCCCCTCCCACTACAGCAGCTTCGCGACGCTGCTGCAGTTCACGACGCTACAGTGCGAACGACGACGCTGTCGTTCGTGCAGCAGCTTCGGGAACAGCAGCAGCGTTGCAAAGCTGCTATAGTGGGAGTGGGAGTGGGAGTGGGAGTGGGAGGGAGAAGGGCAGTAGTGTTGGTGGCGCGTGGAGGGAAAAGCTGCTGCTGCAAGAACGGCGTCGCGACGCTGCCGGGTCGGAACGAGGATTCAGGTACTTTGATGTTTGTGTGGTGGATCTGGCGGTTGGGGAGGGTTTGGATGGGTTTTTGTGTGGTGGTGATGGTGTTTGTGTTTGTGTGGTGTTGCAACAGGTGTTTGTGGCAGCGGTGACGACAGCGATGTGATAGTCGTGGCTTTGTTTCCGGCGGCGATGGTGGTGCGTTTGTATTGTTGGTGACGATGGTGCATTTGTAAGATGGTGGTGGCAGGGGTTGTGTTGTTGTGGTGGTGATGGTGTTGCGACTACAGTGGCAGGGTGAGGGTGGTCGTAAGTTGCCTAGTGGCCGTGGCAGAAGTGTTGGTGGCGGTGGCATGTGACCACTATTTGGTGTATGTGACTAATTATTTGGTCATATGTGACCAAGTATGGGTGGTGGATAGGATCGGGGTGGGGTGGGGTATTTCAGTATATGTGACCAACTATTTGGTTCAACTTGAAAATATGTAACCGATCGATAAAATATGACCTACAATTTTTTTGATCTGTGACCAATAAAATAAACTATGACGTATAAAATTTTTGATTTGTGACCTCGAAAAAATCTGTGACCAATTAATTTGGAAATCTGTGACTGTGTGACATATAAATTTTGATCTGTGACCAACTAATTTTGAAATCTGTGACCAACGAATTAATTGTGACTTACAAAATTTTTAAGCTGTGACCGTAAATTGTAAATCTGTGACCAGAATGTTCACCGGAATAATTGTCGGAATCGGAGTAGTTGTCGGAACGGTCATCGGAACAGTCGTCGGAGAAGAGTGGTGGCCGAAATAGTCACCGGAGCGGTATGGATGGTGCATATGGGATTAGTTAATTATATTATATTAGAATTAAATATTTAATAATAAATTGATTTAATAATTTATTATTTCATAAATAAAAATTAAAAAAAAAACCTGATTTTTGAATTTTCAAACTATAAACCTGAATTTTGAATTGGTGTAAAGTAAACACCTTATTTATTAATTTTATCCTTCTAAATACACATCTTATTCGACAAAACTATGATGCCTCAAATCCAAGTTAATAGCCAACTGTGCGAGCATAGACCTACCAGCCATGAGAAACACCTCATCCCTCTCTTAATCCAACCCCCATGTTAAATTTTCGATAAGATTGCAAGCTTGTAATTTATATTATTAGAATATATATATTAATTCACTACCTGTAGAATGAATCTGCTCAAAAGAGAAATATGCAAATCCTCAATAATGCTAATTCTTCATACAATACAATGCATGATTCATGTCTGTCAATTAATAAAGTGACACGAAAAAAAAGCCTAATGGATAGCCACTGATATAACTGGGAAAGGAAAAAAGAACAAGTTAACCACATGTCCGTATGGCAACATGTTTTCTGGTTCCTCCTACATTATTGGTATGTCCTTCCCATAAAATAAAGGATCTTCTTAAAAAACCAACCAAATCTTGCTCACTCCCAAGGCCTATCAAAACTTTAACAACTAGGGTAGATTGTTTTCACATAATGGGAAAAAGAGAGTGACTACACTAGATTAGATTTGAGCCCAACATCGTCCGATTGTTTCATATCATAAATAGTAAAAGTAGTCACCAACCAACCAATTGACGATGTTCATTCCATGATGTCAAAGCTAAGCAGCGTATATTCCTTTTTCTTTTAAGAAAAAGTGGCAAATTGCTAGTTCACCCAGTTTTCGTGTCAGGTCTACAACATCAGGACTCTTTCAATTAATATGAATACGAAACTTTAAGTTACATTAAGGATATTTTTAACTCTATATATATATATATAGGCTTCTCGACAGATATTTTTATTTTCTTTGAAGAAAACCCAGTTCACGATTAGGTAACAGGACCATTTCTGGGTCGGTCGGTTTCAAAACATTGATTAGTACTACCACATAAGAATGGGTACAGCAACTTTAAAGATTCAAATTCAAGTAATTAACCTTTAGAAATAAAGTTATTATTCTAATTACTTTCTTACCCAAAAGAGTATATAATACAACACCAAAAGGTAGAGGGCTAGCTAATCTCGAAAGATGAAATTTCTTTTCTTGGTTAAACATCGCCGTCAAAAGACAAGATTGTTTGATTAAGATTCTTGGACTAAACATAAACCCACCACTGCATTTCCTCTTCAATTTCCCGTTCTAAATGAAAAAAATCACAATCCACCAGCATGGAATATCCCACAAGAATTACGGAATTCAACCCACAAAATTAATAAGGTAAAAAATTAGCCGAAAGTAACAATCAGGAAGATGGAAAATGGGATGGTGGAGGAAGTAGCTGACGAGACTGATGCACCTGATTGCTTCCGCTTCCGCCATTACTGCCTGGAGAAGCATACTGCAGGATAAAAGGGTGATGCAGCAGCTTCCAGGCGGTCCACCTCCTTGCAGGGTCCCTCTGTAGGCAGCAAGCAATGAAATCTTTAAACTCCCTTGACGCAGTTGGCGGCGCCTCCGGCGGCTGCGACATACAAATGGCGCACATAAGGCTCGCCCAATCGCCCTGTCTTCCAAACGGGAATTTGCCCAAGTAGAATTCGAGAATGCTCACGCCTAAACTCCATATATCACCGGCATACCCGTCGTACTGACCCTTATTCAGATCTGTGTTGATTCTTTCTGGGCTCATGTAAGCAATAGTGCCCACGGATGAATTGCAGGGATCCATCGTTTGAGCCAAAATTCTTGAGACGCCAAAATCAGCTATTTTCACAATACGCCTTGAGTTTATGAGCAAATTTGAAGGCTTAATGTCACGATGAACGATTTTTCTCTTATGGAGGTAAAACAATCCCGAGAGAATCTGGCGAGTGAGATCGGATAAAGAGGCTTCGTCGGGCACGTGGAAGCCTTCAAGAGACCCTTTATCCATGTGTTCAAGAAGGACCTGGATTTCTCCATTGTGATCATACATGTCGTGGCACTTGACGACGTTGAGGTTGTCTACGTCTCGGAGGATCTCGATTTCCCTGCAGATCTGGCGGCGGACGGAGTCATCGTGGTTGCCATAGATCACCTTGAGGGCGTAGTGCTTACCGGTGGGACGGTGGATAACCTTATAGACAGTGCCGCCGGCGCCACTGCCTATTCGATTCACACGCTCCAGCTCGGAAAAGTTGAGGGGCTGTGAAAGCTGGGCGGATGAAACGGCGGCGGAGCTAGAGACGGGGGCTGAGGTGGGCGGAAGCGGAAGCGGCACGGCAAGAGATGGGTCACGTTGAGGTAAAGGTAGAGTCAGGTCAGGTCGCCGCCGCTGACGGTTCCGATTTGCGGCGGCCGGCGGTTGTTGAAGCGGCCTCATAATTGATTCTTGATTAATTCTGAAAATGGGAAAACCACAACAGAATCAAATCCAATAACACCACCACCAAAAAACCAGCAACTGGGTTTCAAGAAACGGTATGGTATGAATCTTGGCCTGGCTTACGTACGTAAAGATTTCTGGTTATCTTACAATACTTCTTTAGAAAATTGAACATGAAAAAAGGGAAACTCCAAACAAATCATTCGTTGATTTGAGGAAGAAGAGAATCTTGGCCTGGCTTACGTACGTAAAGATTTCTGGGTATCTTACAATACTTCTTTAGAAAATTAAACATAAAAAAATGGGAAACTCCAAAAAAATCATTCGTTGATTTGAGGAAGAAGAAGAGGGGACCATGTTCAACAAATGTTCGTGTATATATGTAACTAGGGTTTGATTTGAGGAGCAAATGAATGAATTTGAACCAACCCAAAGAAGAGACAACGGTAGAAAAACAAGGAGAGGAAGAGATTGTTCTTGGAAGAGGAGAAAGAGAGCGAGAGGAGGAAGGAGAGGAAAGATTTCTGATTTGTGATAGAGAAATATGAGAAACAAAGTAGAGAGAGGAATCAATACATAATATAGAGAATTGTGTACGTATATGCTGGATATAGCAAAATTGTGATATCTTTTGCCACTCCTCTCAACGGAATGTATGATTTTTTTATTTTTAATTTTTTTCACTTTGTATTTTCAAGGCCAAGGGGGGCCATACTTTACATATTTCATTTTCAATATTTGGTTTTAATTTTTTTTATAAATATTTCAACCTCTTTCAAAGTTAAATGATTTCATCGTGGAAGAATATAGTGTATTTCACGTGTATCATGCATTTATGATGTGCTCATCTGATATTAATCAATAGTACATGTAACATGGTATATAGACAAATGTGTCGACTCGTCAAGTCTGAATACTATACACTCGAGTTTCTTATCATTAATTGAGATGTAAACAAAAGATTTAAATAAAAATAGAAATCTGCATTTGTTAACAATAATGCACATGTCAAAGTTTAGAATGTGAGCTTAATATGTCATGTCCAATTTGTCTACAATAAAATAAAATAATATGGAAATTTGAAGACGGGTGTAGAAAAATATGTGGAATGTCGAGTCAATTTAAAAACTCAAGTTGAAAATCATAAAAGGAGCCTCAAAAAATGTTTAAACTACACTTAGTTATTGTAGACAACAAATTGTACTATTGAAATAATAAGAAGTGGGCAATCAAGAATTATACATAATTTGCAAACAATACAAGAAAGAATCGTTAAAGATCCTTACATTGACACCGGTATAGTGCTCAACGTAGACCCTCCAACGACCAAGGCGCTATTATAAAAACAGAGAATTCTTAGAGTATGTTAAAAGTATTGCGAGTTTCGTTAGGGGATTGAGTGAACCATCGTTATTAAGAGTTAGTGGTATTTATAAAAAAATAAATACAATTATGCAAAAGAAGATAGTCATCCATCCTCTAAAATTAAGGAGTGCTTGGTGAATTGATATCATTAGATGTGTTTTTTAATTAATTTTCTCATTATGTAATTGGGTGGAATATTTATTAATAAATTTTCTACTCCCATATGCCATTTCAAAAAGAAGCCTCTCTCATATTTTTTAATTTTAAGTAAAAAAGTGTAAATTATTCTTAAATCGAGTAACTTTTTTTTTTTTTTTTTAATTCAAGAAATTTGTTTTTAGCCTTCACTGATTTAAATAAAAAAAAAATTAAATTTTACTTAAATGATTAAAAGAAAAAAAAAAAAAAAACACTCTCAAACAGAGAATATATAATTTCAATTTCTTAGATAAACTTAAAGTATCCATATTCAGTACTCGTGTGCTTGTGCCTCTTAGAAGCATTCTGTATATTTCCAATTGTAACTCTCATCAATAAAACACCCTTTTTTGGGACTTTGTCTTAAAATGTTTGTCCCTTACACAATCGTCTGAATTTCTTTTTTAATTGTTAGCTGCAACCCGCGCGAAACAATATTATTTTAAGGAGAGC